GTCCATGATACTCGAAGTCGTGTATTTACCACACCAGGTATCAATGCATTAAAGACACAAAAAAGTCATATAAATATTCAAATTTTTTTCGCTATTTCGAAGTTGTTTGTGATTTTTCTATCTTTTATTATTTGTACATATATCACTTGAATAGTGCTTTACGTCATGTGGATAGATTTTCTTTGCTACTTTCGATTGCTTTTTTTGGCTTTGTTAGTCTCAAGTGAGCCTTACGCATAAACTGTAAAAATTCAAAAAAGGATAATCACATAAAAGCACATTAAAATTTTTTTTCGGTATGTGATTTATTCGATGTCTGATTGAACGTATTATTCGAACTGTATACATGCTTGTAATATGGCAGATGTCATGCTACTTATTCTTATTTAGATTATCAATGAGAGCAATAAAAATGAGTTGATTTTTGTTTTGTTAGTGCAGGTCGTACTAGAAATAAATCATTCAGGCATGTATATTCGTTTACAAGTCTACTATGATCCATTTGGAGAAAGAGTATGAGTAAAATTTATAAAAGACTGAGCACTTCTTTAATACCAATAAGAAAGTGCTCTTGATGGTTTCATAACAATCACGAACCTTTCCAATGATAATACCATTGGAATCGAATCAAAGCGTTTTTGTTTCAATTATTTGTACATTGCTTCTTACTGATTAATTTATTTGAGCTCTGACTTTTTTTACGTTTTATCTTATCGAAACAAATTCTTTGATTAGGAAATAATAGAAGAAAGATTATTCTATAACATTTTTTTTTCGAAAACTTTATTAATAATCACTGTTAGAAAAATATTTGTTCTAGATGTTTCTTCTTTCATGTGTCTTTATAGTTTTCATTGAAATCTTTTATATGATCTTTATAAAGTACGCTGTTTATTTGATAGAGATAATGATTAAAGTGTAAAAAAATAGTCCATGGAGCAGATATCTTCCGTCAGATCGAGTATAGAGTAAAATAGAATAACTTTGCTTTCTTTCATTTTTTTATGGATAACTGATCAATTATTATGTATATGTATGTCTCATAATACAATATTTGCAAAATAAAGTAATTTATTCTTCTTAAAATAATGGAAAAGCTATTAATTTTTGGCAAAAAAATGAAATATATCTACGTTGAATACATCTCAAGCAACTATTGTAATCCATTTCTTCGATCTAATTTCCATACCGATTTCTGAACTAACTGGTAGATACAAAGAGAAATACAGTCTGTAGAACATATTTAACATTCAATCTTTTAATTTCAATATCAATATGTAATGGTAAAAATATTTAGATAATTGAATACATTCGAATATGTACGAAAATTTAGTTCTATGGATGGAAGAAGTTACGTGACAATCGAGTCGATAAATAAGGTTTTGCGATGAACCGAACCAATTATAATTCTAGGGCTAACTACATACTTCTAGATAGACGGTGCATCGTTTACTGAAAAATAAAAAGACACAGATAGGGTTCGTCGGGCACATAGATCAATTTCATAAGCATAGTTCTTCCAATTTCAACAACTATTGAAAAATAAGGTAATTGTAATTAATTTATAACAGAATGCTTCTAAAGATTGTCCTTAAAACACCATTTAGTCCATAATTTCTTTTTTCGAAGGAAAGAGGAGAATAGTAACGTTTTATCATTTAATAAATATTTTCTCTCTATAATTTAATCGAGATATAGGATTTTGGTCCTCTTTTGTTTTCTCCCGTTGTCATCAAAGGTGTTGACATATATGTAAGAAAGATGAATAGCAGTACTTTGATTTTGCTGTACAACAGATGCAGAAAAGTTGCTGAAATAGTATATTATCAATCATCAGATAGTATTTTTAACAATATAAAGTATAGTCTTGTTATAAGCACCTTTTTGATTAAAATAAAGTGTCGTGTTTGTTTTTTTAACTATATTGAGAGATTCAGCATTTATTGAAGAAAACAAAACTCTGTTAATATTGTTGAGATATTCTTTATTTATAGAAGCCCAGTATTTATAAATAGTTTCTTTGGATTGTTTCTTATCATTGAGTTGAGTATTTTATGAAATTGCTGTGAAAGCACAAATCTGAATCGGACTTTCTATAGACCTTGTTAAGATATAGATATATTTTAGTAAAGTGAAACTAAATGTTCATGAATTCACAGTTTTTTGATAATTAAATGAAAGAAATATTGTGTTGGTGATAGAAACTTATATCCGATAGAATAATAACATATATTGAAATTTAGAAGCAGCAAACATATTCATCGTCGCTACATCTAACTTATTAAAATAATAGTTTTGGAAAGCACGCTTACTCTTGAGTTTTAAAGGATTTGTAGAGGGGAAAATATTCTATCTATGGATTACGTAGTATTCTTTGATAAATTATTGTCCATTAGGACAGTACCTAACCAGTCGTCGATAAAAACGACAACAGATATATCATTGAAAGTTTATACGAATAAATTAAATTTAATCAATGTAGCAATATTGAAAAGAGATCATTGTGTACGTCGAGGATCACATAAAAATTATTCGAAATTTTTTCGACCGGATCTATTATTTCGATTAAGAAATGCACTATTTAAATTCATGCATTATTGTGAGGAGAACGAAAGCTTTCGATTTTTAATCATATTACCATGTATATAGATTTCTGAGCGTAGAACTTTTCTGCGCCTACGTATTCATATCGATGATTGCTGAATAAATTAAATTTTTGTATATCCATTTCTTATGTATGTTGAAATGCTTCATATTCAATAAACATTGATACAATATGCATCGTCATCCGATTTAAAAAATGCACTCGGATACTCTTTCGTAGCTTACTGAATAAAATGATAAAGAATTTTGTCCATCTATTTAACTTTCTTATCAAATTTGTTATTATCAAAACGCGCGAGTATATCAAATTGATTATGTTATTTTTAGTCGCACATATTTGACATGTTAACTCAAATAATAAAAAAAGAGGGAAGATTCCGAGAATCTGTGGGCTACTCACGAATACAAAACAATGAAAATGAAGTTTCGCAATTATTTTTCATCAATATAGCTGTACGGCCTTTTTAACCCTCGGATGTCCCAACTTAATTTTTGCAGATAATATGATAACATGTACTCTTATTCCATGGTTTTGATTGCCGGGTCGGTATTCTTGCCAAAATTAGATTATTTTCCTCTTCAGTCTTGTAAAGTAATTATTAGAATTATAGTTTTCCTTTATTTAGAATGATTAATACAAAAAATTTGTTGAATCTCTATTTCCTATTCTCGGATTCACAGGAACCCCGCTTGGGCATCCCAGGGTTAACTATGTAACTGTTTGCCTGACATGTCCATACACGATTTTCCGGAAACAGCTTACCAGAAAGAAAACCGTTTGTCTTCACTGTATCTCAGCCGATTGAGCGATTTTTTTGTGACGGTAAAGGAAACTTCCAAGTTTTTATTCGCAAAGATTAACTGTACAAATGATGCTAAAAATCTCTACTATAAACTTCGATACCAAATTGAAGCCTTTTGCAGTATGGCAAAAACATACAGAATTTTTCATTTTGTGATTTCAATTTTTTTCGTAATGCCCGCTTTCGAATCATCGGAATCTTCAATTTTTACTTTATAAAGGCTTGTAAATACTTGTTCGGATCATTTCTTATGGAAGAAGTGTAATAACGTAATGCTTTATGACTGCAAAGACCCTGAAATCGTTCATCTCTTGCAGTTCATCAGTTATCAATGTTCTCATCATGTTGGGAAGTGATTTCTCGGTAAAAATGTATCGTTGACTGTTTTTACTTTTAAAAACTGTTCAAAAGAATGTCTATAGAATCAGAATGAAAGATTTGTGAATAGTATAAAGTCGAAAATTGCAAAAAAAGATTGAAATCATTAAATAAAGAACTCTGCTTATTGTTTTACTATATTGCCCAAGGCTTCAGCTTGGTATTGAAGTCAATAGTAATGGTTTTCAGCGTCATTCGTAGATTTTATCTTTACGAACAAAAACTTGAAAGTATCCTATACTACCAGAAAAAAATCAGCTCAATTGGCTGAAATATAGTAGAGATAAGCGATTTTCTTTTTAGTAAGCTATTTCTGGAACACCCTATGTTTAATTAAATTTGTCTAAGAAGTTGATTCCGTTTATCTGAACGTTAAAATTTTGTAGATATAGAAAATAAAATACACATATATACCAGTTCAAGTTAGAAATGAACGCCCGATGTATATTCTGTTTCGTACAATGTATGAGTAGCTGTTGTTCACGATGCGATCAAATGAGTCGTGGTGAAAAATTTGCACGATTACTTCAATATCTGGGAAAATGTTCTGAAAGTATAATGTATCACGACGACATTTCTTTTGCTGTACAACGAATTCGACAAGTGAGTTTGTTTGAGTAACATTTGAACTATAAATAGTGTGCTATAGATTGAATCAATTATGACACCAATTCAATTTCATCCGAATCAAGTTTTCGATGAGAGAAAACACGTTGTAGACGTAGTAGCTAAGAAATATCTGGAAAAAGCTGCCCACGATGTACATCATCTTATTCCAGTCAAAGTTCCTGTTGATGGAAACTGTTTATACCATTCGATTCTTATTCTGATGAATAATTCAATGGTGACAACGAGCGAATTACGCGGTATATAATTTATTTTTCATTGACACTGTTATAAGATCTATATCATGAAATAATTTTAGTTCGAACGATTATGGAACTTATAGCGAATGAAACTTATTATACAAATATATATTCGCAATTCGTCGGATCTATAGACAATGCTATTAAAGGCATATGCAAAAATTATACATATTCTGAATTGTACGAAATTGGTGCATTATGTAGCGTTCTTCAATGTAATATACGAAGTGTCTATCCACATATTGACTTTCGAGAAGATATGACTGTTATGAACAAAGTCTTCACACTTGCTCCACCTATCATTACTAACTGTGAGATCACAATCTTTTGGTCCCACGCCTTGAACGAAATGGACGCACGAGCTATTAACAATGGTGCTTGGAGTCCGAATCATTTTGTTCCTCTTTTATCACCAGCTATACATTACGAATCTGATAACAGCAATCAGCCAACACCAATTGTTGTGGTAGGATATCTATTTATAAACGAGCATTTCTGAACTTGAAATTTATCTAGACTCCTGAAAAGAAAACGCTCAAGAACAATACTGTTACTCAAATACGAATTCCTGAATTTCAGTCTTCTCTTAGCAGACGTTTACGTACTGGAGACAATATAGGAATTGACTCTACTCAGTCAACTAATCCAGGTACAATGCAAAATAGTCAAAATGACTTAGCAGAACAACATCAAAGCAGACTTGACAAGCTAAAAGAGCAGGCTCGAATCAGTCGAATGAACGAAACAGACGAACAGCGTCAAAACAGACTTGAAAAGCAAAAACAGCGAGCCCAGTCAAGTCGCACCGGTGAGGCGGAAGAACACCGCCAACTTCGCCTTGAAAAGCAAAAAACACGAAATCAATCGAATCAATCGAATGAAACAGCAGAACAACGTCAAAATCGACTTGAGAAGAAAAGAGAACGAACTCGATCCAATCGAACGAATGAAACAGAAGAACAACGTCTGATTCGACTCGAGCAGCAAAGAAAGCGAAGCCAAGCAAATAAAAGGAAAAGGAAACTTGAGAAACGTGCTTCTGACAATAGTGCTATTCAACAACAAGACATCGATATGCAGTTAAATGAAACAGAACATCATGCGCTTCGTGATGGAGACAAAATGGATGATCTTACGCGAAACGAAAATGTCGTAAATAAAAAGAAAAGTTCAACTTCTTTGCCTTGGCCTGAACCGATTGCTCATAAATTGAAAGAGGCGTGTTTGCAACAATTTCTTCGACGAATGTCCATGTCAGCACTGGCTGAGACTACTTGTGCAGTTTGCAATGTCCGCACTCCAGTACAGAAGACGAAAAAAATACCAATGTCGAAAATTCCTCATTTTCATTTACTTAAAGTTTCTGATGAACTCAAAGATGTAATCATAAGCACTCAATCATCAACTTCGAAAAATTCTAACGGTGACAAGATACAGGTGGTTGAACATGCTCAAAGTAATATATAATTCTTCGAATTTCAGAATTCATGTACAATTTTTAATTATTTTAGTTCCTTCAACCTTGAATTCACCATCTTTTTATTATGAAAATGGTATCGTTCTATACACCAATGGTTTATCTCAACAAAACAAACTGAACATGTGTACACTTTGCCAAAAATGTTACGAAGCCTTGTCGAAGGAACAAATTCCTAAATTTTCACCTGCCAATAATATGTGGTTAGGTGATGTGCCTACTGAATTGCAAGGACTTACAATTCCAGAAGAGAAACTCATATCACTTTATCGTCACAATAGTTGTGTGATAAAACTTCAATCACCTTTTCATTCTACTACAACTGCCCAAGCAGCATTAAAGGGCAACTGCATTACTTTTCTTCAAAATGTACCAAACATCGTTAGTAGTTTACCACTTGCACTTGACGATCTGTGTGATACACTTAAGGTGATTTTTGTTGGAGCACGTCCTCCTGAACGTATTCATCTTAAGAAAATCCTAACGGTACGTAAGAAAAAAATTATTCAAGCGCTGCATTGGCTAAAGAAACACAATATACTCTATCGAAACGTCGAGATAAATCTGGAGAATATCGCTCACCTACCTGAAGACGATGTACCAGAATCTATCCTGACAACAATAGAAGAGAAGATAGTTGACGAAGAAATTCAATCTGAAAGAATTGGATATATTCCTGATCCATTATCTGATCCGACAGAACCCATGACTTCGGATACTATTCCTATTAACAACAGGTGAGGTCGAACATTAATCTAGTTTTCAAATAAATATTTTTCTGATTAGTGGTGTTCTGGACGTGAATGGATACACCGTATCTTCCAACGAGATTGCTCATTATTTGTTACGCAAAATTAAAAATGACGGAACGAAGGAACAAATGGACACCGAAAGTGTTTATTTAATTCCTCATTCTTCGAAGCCTGTTAACGAATATTTTAATCCGAAATTACTCGTAGGTCTGTATCCAACTTTATTCTGTTATGGATGTGGAGCACCCGAAGATCAGTCGCGTCCAGTTAAAGTAAACTTGCGAGAACACATACGGTATCTGTTATCTTACAACGATCGACGTTTTGAGAAGAATCACAGTTTTATATTTGTGGTCTTCAATTTATTACAACGACGCGATGCCTGTTTTCATGCTCAGCTGATCGCAACAAAACCTTACTTTCGAGCATCTGCTGATGAAATTCAATCCTTAAAAAGTAAAGATATTGAATTGGCGCTCGATAACATTTCAAGAAAAACCTACCACTCAGAATCAAATAGTGCATTAAACAAATTATTGCATCATATTAAAACCATCGGTGGTCGAGTTATGGGTTCAGCATATTCACGTACGGCATTACGTACACGTATTCATGCATTAATCTATAATCAAGGGTTACCAAGCATTTTTTTAACTTTAAATCCAGCTGATATTCACAGTCCCGTGGCATTATATTTTGCCGGTATCAAGCTTGACTTGGACAATATTCAAATGGGACAACTTATGGATACTTACAAAAGAGCTGAAATTATAGCATCTCATCCTGTTGCTACTGCCAAATTTTTTCATTTATTGATCAGTAATATTTTAAATACTATGATTAGTGGTGGTGTTCTTGGCCCAATAAAAGCTTACTTCGGTACCGTTGAAAGCCAAGGACGAGGTTCTCTTCACTTGCATCTTCTTATTTGGCTTGATCATGACATGAAGCCAGCTGATATGAAAGAGAAAATTCAAAATGCTGATTTTCGTGAAAAATTGAAAGCATATTTAGAAGACATCATCAAAGAAGACTTAGATGAATTCAAAGACAAACATGTCTTTGAGAATTTACACGGTATGGAACGTTTTGCTTTTATTCGAATATTGATTTCTAATTTTATTTCTAATTTTATATTGTAGTGACAAGAACATTGAATACTCCACCACGATTATCACAAGATAATATCTATGCAGCTTTACGTACTATGGATTTAACAGGTTTAGGCGAAAATATAAATAAATCTCCTGTTTGGTCGACACCAATCAAGCAACAACTTTCTCCGTCAACTCCTTATGCTGCTTCATTATGGAATAAATCGTTACATACACCAACACATGATCGACCAACATCTGGTAAGAAATAGAAGTAATAAAAAAGATAAAGTGTAGATCATATTTTAGTTATGAATGTTTTACATAATCAATCAAACATAAATCCAGCTTGCTTACCTACTCCAAATCCATCATCGCCTAATTTTGCAGCACGCTTTCGTGCAGATGTGGTACAACTTGTGGAAACAGACAACAAGCACAAGCATAGTGACACATGTTACAAGTATTCTAATCCTAAACAAGGTGACAAGAAAATTTGTCGATTGCGTATGCCACGCAAATTAGTACCAGTTTCGACGATTGATCCGGATACCGGTCATATCTCTATGCGACGATCCGACGCATGGATTAACAATTTTAATGAATACCTCATCGCAGCCTGTCGATCCAACATGGATATTAAATTTATTTGGAGTGGTAGTGATGCAAAGGCTCTTGTTTATTATATTACCGATTATGTCACAAAGATGAGTCTCTCTTTTCATGATACATTTGCTCTTGTACAAAAAAGCATAACATCGTTCCAAAATTCATTGCAACAGACAAGCAAGGAAAGTGCAATCGAGAAGTCACGTAAACTCGTTTTACGCTGCTACAATACACTTGCTTCTCAACAAGAGCTATCTGGGGTTCAAGTGGCTTCTTATCTCATGAATTGGGATGATCATTACACAACACACAAATTCCAAGGCCTCTTTTTAATTCAAACTGAACGGTTTTTACAAGCTGAATTGAATGAAATACGCACTAAACAAAAATTGAAACTTACACCGCACGGTCAGTATATTATTAAAGTCTCATCTCATGTTTTAGAAGTATTTATTCTATGAAAAGTGATCACATCCTAAGATATAATAAGAAGAGGAGAAGAAAAGCAGAAGAAAGTCACTAATAGCGACGTTAACTCCGAATATTTTCTATTTTATTTTAAATTAAATAAACTTTTAACACTTAATGACAGTATGGCATATTAAACTCGGAGATTTTAATTCAATCAAACTGTATATAAACGCTATTATACGAAAAGAACGCAGGAATCAACGATTAATTGTAGGTTCTCATTGAGCATATAAAAGAAATTATTTGATCAGAAAGTCATCCATCAAAAAATGAAGTATTCACAATTTTGTTTCTCCCAACAGTCTTTCACTGATTTGTTTAAGCTTTTCTGTCGTACAGAGTTGGCAGATTTCTTATACTAAGTGGTATTTAAGTATCCGTCTCAGGCCGCTAATATTGACACGGGGCTATAGACAAATTCTTTCAACTGTCATATTTGCTGCATATATGAAAAGAACAAATAGTTTATCGACCGAGTTATGATAGTATAATTAAATAAAAACTAAGTTATTATCTTTCACTAATTTATTATCTTTCATATGTAGATGTAATCGGTGATGATGTATATGATGATGAGATTATTGACGATGAAAATAATGACGAAGAACAGTTTCAAATTCAATCTGTTGAAAATGACAAAAGCTTCGTACTCGTTAATACACGAATCGATTATCAATATCGCTCCAATATTCTCAACAACACATGTTTATACGATTTTGTCAGTATATTATATAAGAAAAAAATTAATGCAACAGATCTGAAATATTTATCCAAGACGACTGCACCAATAAGAGAAGACATTTGCGAAAAAGGTCGACCGCCTAATGAACGTTATCCTTTTCAAAAACAGCACCCACAGACATCAACACATCTTATGATGAAATACAGCCAGCCTCATATACCTATTCTTTATGGTCCCCAAATTCCTCGACGAGATCGTGATGATACTCGAGAACGATATAGTCGAGCTCTTCTCACGCTCTTCGTGCCCTGGTGCACGGTTACTGATCTATGCGATGTCAACCAGACATGGGAAGATGCATTCAAATCTCGACAACATCTTATTTCTATGCATTCATGGAAAATTATAGAAAATATCCAACTTCTACATGAATGTAAAAAGGACCGCGATGAACATTTACTCCAAGTTATTACTGAAGCTCAAACTGATAATGGCGCAATCGATCCCATACTTTTGCCAGCAAATCATGATGTTCATGGCGAACACGATATGGACGACAGCGAAGACTTACTTGAGCTACTTAGACATTTAGACGAACACACATCTACTGCGATCAATACTACCAAAAAGTCAACAGAGAATAAATATATTGAAGAAACTATCGCAACAGTCGAGAACGTCGGCCGATTTACTCATCTCAACAGTAAGTATTATTTAATCTGATCTTTAAGCTTGAAAATAATGATAAAATTTTTTTTAGCATATCAACAATCTTCTTTAAATGAATCTACCGATAAACAACTTGTACCTTTCGTTTCTGCAACACCTGATCTTGTTCGACTAAATACGAAATGGCAAGAACAGCTAAAGAATGAGAAAGAACGAGTTAGAAGAAATTTGATGAATGGCAGTCATGAAAAAGATTGGGATGGTACGTTAGACTTGAATGCTGCAAAAGATGCTGTTATAACTGTAATAAATCCAAACAATTATAATACGAGCAAATTTGAAAACTATGGCTCGGTTCTTCCAGTAATCTCAGTCACAGCAAACTTTCCTACTCAGAGAAGCATTGTCGAACAATTTACACTGAACAGAGAACAACGAGCTGCATTTATGATAATAACAAGTCATCTTGATGGTGACAATCGTTGTCGTACAGGTATCTTTATAAAACAAATCACCGTCTTTCGAAATATATATATAATATTTTTAGGTGACAACAATGGTCAGCTCATAATGTGTATACCGGGATGCGGCGGTACTGGCAAATCACAACTGATTCGTGCTCTCACTAAATACTTTTTTGTTACAAAAAGAATGCAGATGATGCGGAAGCTTGCGCCCACCGGAATCGCTGCCGCTGAAATAGACGGAATGACGATTCATTCATTTTTAGGTGAACAACGTAATTCTGGAAAGCCACGCACCATCAAACCAGGTGATTCAAAACTCGAAAAACAATGGAGACTCATAGAATATCTCTTCATTGATGAGATGAGTATGGTTGGTTTAACTCTTCTTGCAAAACTGAACCGAATCATTTCTGCTGCAAAACATGTTGATCCTCAAATTCCTTTTGGTGGAGTGAACGTTATTTTTTTTGGCGATTACTTACAATATCCCCCGGTATATGATGCACCGTTACACACCGATTTTTCATTGCCCACCAAAAAGAAATCGAGTAAACTACCCACTGAAAAACAAATTCAACAACGTGTCGCACGTTCTTTAATACTTCAAATTAATTGTGTCGTAAAACTTACGCAGCAGATGCGAACGGAAGACTTAAGATATCTTCAATTACTCGAACGGCTTCGTCATGGACAATGTACTCACGATGATTATGAATTATTGCTGACACGAGTGGTTGGACAACCATCAGTAGCGTCTCTACATGATTCACCATGGAATCAAGTAAGTTCCATTTTATTTTTGTAACGATTTCTCATCTTTGTCTTGTTTAGGCTCCTATTCTGGTGTTTCGAAATGAAGTACGAACCCAATTAAACCACAAGGCAGCAATTCATAATGCAACACAATCAGGCAACTTACCAATGGTATGCGTCGCTCAAGACACTTGTAAAGGCAAACCAATTGAAGATCCAACACTTATAAAAAAACTGTTAGAATTATCTGATAGTAAGACAGAGCATTTACCTGGTCTGCTACCTTTTGTTCCTGAAATGCCTGTTATTTTAACACAAAACATTGCTACTGAGCTTGGTCTTATCAACGGAATTAATGGAATCTTTCGGCAACTTGTCTACCAGGCAGACTCTGTGTCAAAAGATATTCTATCGGACTCATTTCCGAAAAACACGCAGTACGTTCGCCAACCATTGTATGCATTGATAGAAATTGCTAAATCGAAGATTGAATGCAATCTTGAAAAACTTCAACCAAAACTAGTTCCAATACCGCTAATGGAACAAACATTTCGCATTGATATTAGCGACCTTTTACCGAAAGATAAAAAGCCAAAATCAAATCGAAAAGCAATTTTATCAATTAAACGACGTGCACTCCCCCTTGTGCCTGCTTATTGTATCACGACACATAAGAGTCAAGGCCAAACTTTGAATAAGGTTGTGATTGATCTAAAACTACCGAATGACACCGACGATATTGCTGCAGTCTATGTACCATTGTCGCGTGTGAAATGTTTGGCTGATCTTATTATTTTACGGCACTTCGATTACAAGATTTTGCTTGTTAAACCGAGCAAATCACAAGTCGCCGAAATAGAAAGACTCGATAAACTGTATTTAGATACGCAAACGCGTTTTTCTCAATGGTTCCAATAAGTTTTCTGCATTGTAAGAAAACTTTTATTATTTGTCTCTAAATTTTCTATGTAATTTTCTTTTTTTTATGTATTCAGTTGATATTGTATTCATTTCAACATTGTTTTTTTCTGTATCCAGGTCTTCTATATATTAGCATTGTGTTTTTATTTTTTTCAATTATAGTTTGATATATTTACTAGCTATAGATATATCGTTGTTTTTATGTCTATTTTGTCGTTTTTTTGGTCACAAATCGAATAAATATATTTGCGTCATGTCATTGCTGAGAAAAATTTTTAAATAAATACTCTTGGTTATAGTAAAGATTCATACGACTCATTCACTAAATCATTCTGTAGGACAGTGCCACTACAATGATGTATACATGTTGTATACATGTGATTAAAAAATATACTCACGAAAAGTACAACTATTATTCACCTTAGAGATACTTCTTTTATTTCAAATCACGGTTTGAATGTATTTTGGCGCTGTTATATATACAATGATCGAGCATAATTTCCAACACTCGCCAGCAACTCTAAGAGGCATATATTGTATGATTGTCCTTGCATGATTCAATAATGTTCGTGCCTCTAAGCAACTTTATAAGTTGAGGCAGATTTTACCATTCATAATTTAAATTTCTCTATACATATTCATAGAAAGACTAACCTTTGTTCATAATATTAATCATTGTTTAAAAAGTTGCCGATAAGATTACCGATTTTATGTGTAAAAGTCTCCATCATTCTAAACTGGTTCTACCATTATACATCATGATAAATGTTATAACAGATATACTGTGGCACGTTTGATACTATCGACAATGATCTCAACAAGATGCAATAGTAAATAAAAAAAGCTAGCCATTCGTAGTGATAAGACTAGACAAGTAATTTGAATATATCAATATACACTCAGATACTTGAATTAATATAAAGAAAAGCATATACCAAAAGAAACACTCTTTTATTTTAGTCATGTCCACTATCGATACAGCAAATATAGTTTCTTTCAGTAATGTTTTTATTCTGACCAACTATTCAGTTATTTTGTCCAAACATAAAAACCGGTTCTCATCCTTGACTTGACATAGTTTTTTCAACTTTTTGTATCTGATATTCCTTATTCAGACCCATTTGACTTCGACTATTGACTTTTATTCAATGAATCCCAACACTTCGAAGCGGCACTTTTAGAGATAACCCAGTGCAGCAGCTAGTCGCTCGTCGGCGCTCCGAAGGGGCGCCACTCGCGGCTAGCTGCTGCCAAGTCTAATCCCACCTTTCCATAGCACTATCCCGAATTGCTGACTAAATCTCGAAAAAAAAATTTCGAAAGAAAAAACCTCGAAAAAAAATATCTCGAAAGATGAAATTCCGAAACAGCAAAATGTAGAAAAAAAATTCTCGAAACAATAAATCTCGAAAGGCAAAATCCCGAAACACAACATGTAGAAAAATGGCTAATTCGAACAGAAAAAACACAAAATGCAAAAACTCAAATTTTAATACATTGAATTTTCAAAACAAAAATTCGAAAGATGCCCTCTCATTCCACGATCATTCGATCAGATTCCAATAGATATTATGATGGCTGACGTGTTTTCCTTTATTTTTCTTTCAGAGTGTGGGTGTGGGTTCTGTTTTCATCTATAACCACACACCCATATCCACAAAACCTATACCCACACTCCACACCCACACCACCACTCACACCGACACCGACACCCATACCCGCATCGACATCCACACCGACACCCATACCCGCACCCACATCCACACCCATACCCGCATCCACATCCACACCCATACCCGCACCCGCATCCACATCCACACTCACACCGACACCCACGCCCATACCCTCACCCAAACCCACACCCACACCCGCACCCGCACCCCCACTCACACCGACACCCATACCCACACCCACATCCACACTCCCACTCACACCGACACCAACACCCGCAGCCGCACCCACACCCACACCCTAGTTCCACATTTCAGCTCCAAAGGGACCGCTCTAACAAGCTTTTTTTTCTTCGATAGTTTACTTTTTCAAAAATTTTTCTTTCGATAATTCATTTTTTCGAGATTTTTGTTTTCGAAAAGCTGATTTTTCGAGATGTTAGTTTTTCGAGTTTTTATTTTTTCGAAATTTTATTTTTCGATATTATTTTGTTCGAGATTTTTTTTCGAGATTTTTTTCTTCGAGATTTAGTCAACATACCACTATCCCTCTGTATTTTAAATTCATCTGGTCCAGGACTAACTATTTCAAAATTTCGTTAGATCTAAAGCATTAGAATTATCGACAGGAATTTTCAAACAGAAGTTTTCTCATGAATTATTTCTCATTTCCGCGATTTGATTGTAGAACTGAGAAACCAGAGTTTTCTTTGAGGTTCTCATTAAGGAAATCTTAGTGCACTATTCTTCAAAATGTCTAACCGATACGAAGATCTTTAGTGAGAACAGTCTGTAGTATGCTTGCAATGTTAACGATTAACAGTTCATTAGCGCCCCTTTTGGGCACCAGCCACGGCTAAGTCCTCCTTTTACATAAGTGCACTTGAACGACAGGCTCTTATTGTCCATGTAATACAAAAGCTACGACATCATTCACATATGCCTTTTCAAAACTATTTTCTTCGAATAACAGTAGCTAGACATTGCACATATCAGAATTCCCGAAAACATACCAGCTTAAAAGCGTCACTTTTCATAATAGTAATTATAGCATACATATGACAAATTAATACCAGGTCCCAGTTTGAGACCCACGCCTATCCATGTATATATTTCCTCAGATGATAGATTTAAAAACACGAAAGAACCTTTCTTATAAGTATCAAACATGACCAAATTCAATAGCGTATTCACTCTTATCGCGTACATTTAATTGATAAATAGCCAAAAACCATTCCATAGTAACTACAAATAACTCACTTAATTGATAAATATTTTCATAAGATGAAAACAATCACGCGATTTCCAATTATTGTCTTCTTTTTCATACATTTATGCAAAATCGAAAAAGACATATACTGTTTTAGCTGATCATCTACTTCAGTGAATGCACATTCTAAATCCACAAAAAAATATACGAATCGAAAAAGTAATTCTTTTCCATTCAAGTTCGTTTTCAATGAAGCGAATTTAACTGTTTTAATGATATTTTCTATCCATACATTGTCACTATATTCTATCCTTCGAGAAAAATTGGTCTTATAATACATACGAAAATATTTCTCCTTTTTTATTACTTTGAGCCCCTTTTGAAACTCATCAGATCTAACCCCTTCACATTCTCTTATTAAATCCTTATAATTTAACGCCCTTCATAAAGCAACTCTCCAGCGCACCAGCTAGTCGCTCGTCGGTGCCACTCGCGGCTAGCTGCTGCAACCTCTGATTTTCTTCTCCCATGAGATAGTTCTTTATACTCAAACCCTATTAAATGCCAAATTGCTCTTACTTAGAATGTTAGATTTATAACACCATCGCTCCACATGAGCAGCTCCGGACCAACAGTTTCCTATTATTTATTCCTAATTTCTTTAACCCAATGGTTTAACCAATACAGTAGAAATTTATTAGGACCTCTGATTTGGAGAATCTTAGTTGATTATTCTTGATAAATGCAAGTTTCAAGTCGATCTTTTGCTAAACAACATTAGAATATGTTCGCAATTTTACCGACCAGTAGTTCGCCAGCACTTCTCTCAGGCCTTACTCGTAGTCCCTTGTTGCATTATCGGAATACATTAAAACAATCACTGATCATTCTACATTTATCCTACAGGCTGTACCTTCACTTACAAGATTCTTTTAATGCTGCTTTTCTCGACTTAAGCAGAGTGCACCCCCAAAACAAACCATTTAACTTAGAAACCACCATCAATAAACAGTAATGTGTAAACACTGTTCTATCACACTACGACTTACTGAAACACTCAACCCATTAGGTCACACTCCGATTCATGTCCATAACGATACTGTGAAGAGACTACCGCAACTAAACAGCAAACACAGACTCCAAATACGCACAACGATTTTCCATATTTTGAATTTCCCTTTTTTTTCAAATGCCTTTTTCTCAAAAAAATTCGCTTTTACCTTAGACAATAGTTCAGAGAGAAAGGTATAATTTTTTCATGCAAATAAATATTTGAGTTTTTGAACAGCTGACTTCAGATTCAGGTTCCCCGACCCCGATTTACTTTCGTCAACCTTTACAAAATATCGTTATTTTCTCAAAAAACTCTTCCCTTAACTCTAAAATCTCAATTCAAAATTTTGAAAAACTGACTTCAGATTCGGATTCCCCGACCTCGATTCACTTTCGTCAACCTTTATAAAATATCGTTATTTTCTCAAAAAACCCTTCCCTTAACTCTAAAAACTCAATTCAAAATTTTAAAAAACT